TTCCCCTGTAATTCCCCAAAGCCGCTTTTCCGTGAGTCAGTTGTGCCGTTCCTTCCGGCACGCCTGGGTTGAGCCAGGGTCCTGCACCTGGGGAAGAACAACCCCATGCACCAGTACAGGCTTGGGGCAGACCTGCTGCAGAGCAGCTCTGTGGAGAGGGACCTGGGAGTGCTGGTGGATGACAGGTTGACCATGAGCCAGCAGTGTGCCCTGGCTGCCAAGAAGGCCAATGGGATGCTGGGGTGCATTAAGAGGAGTGTGGCCAGCAGGACGAGGGAGGTTCTCCTTCCCCTCTACTCTGCCCTAGTGAGGCCCCATCTGGAGTACTCTGTCTGGGCTCCCCAGTTCAAGAAAGAGGAGGAGCTACTGGAGAAAGTCCAGCGGAGGGCTACGAGGCTGATGAGGGGACTGGAGCATCTCTCCTATGAGGAAAGGCTGAGGGAGCTGGGCTTGTTCAGCCTGAAGAAGAGAAGGCGCGAGGGGACCTTAATAAATGCTTATAAACATCTTAAGGGTGGGTTTCAGGAGGATGGGGCCAGACTCTTCTCAGTGGGTGCCCAGTGACAGGACAAGGGGCAATGGGCACAAACTGAAGGATAGGAAGTGGGGGTTCCCCTTCCCGTGAGATATGCAAGCCCCGCCTGGACAAGGTCCTCTGCAGCCTGCTGCAGGTGACCCTGCTTTGGCAGGGGTGTTGGACTAGATGACCCACAGAGGTCCCTTCCAACCCCTACCATTCTGTGATTCTGTGAGCCCTGGAGGCTGTCACCATCAAGTAATGTGCGTGGCTTGTCCTCGTTCGGCCAAAAGAGGTGACAACCTGAGTGTCTTCCTCGGCGAGGAAAGTGAGCCCATGCAGCTCTTCGCTTCTAAGGGGTGGCCACTGGAGCTGCCTCTGGCATTGGTGAATGTTGCACCTGTGCATGCTCATGTGTGTCTTGTGGGCAAGGGTACAGCCCCCGGGAGGTGACGGGGGGGCCAAATTCCCACCAGCCAGGCTGGCAAACACGGAAGGGACCCTGGAGCCTGAATTCCACACCCCAGGCTCCAAACTGGGTTAAGCGATGTCTGGCCGCAGCTTGCAATGCTGGTTGCAGAGGGTGGAAACTTGTGTTTCGGCAGCATCCCTGCGCTGATTAGAGGCAGGAGTTGTTTGCAGTCATTGCTATGGACACTTGGTGGCTGCTTTGTGCCAACAGAAGCTCCCGCAGAGGAGCTGGTTTGGATCAGCCCTGGCTGGTAGGAGTGGCATCTGTCTCAGCAAGCCCTGCGCCGTCAGCCCTCGCCCCTCTGGCAGGCGTCCCAGGGCAGGCAGTTGAGGCTGGTAAGCGGCTCTCAGCCCTCCGAAGATACAAAGAAGTCTCACCTGAGCACAGGGGCTGGGTGAAGTGGGCTGGTTGAAGTGTCTGGCAGGGTACGGGCTCAGGACATGAGAGACAGGGCTGGTTGCTCAGATCCCCACATCCACACTGCTGTAGCTCCACAGCTGCTTCTTGCATCCATCCCCAGCAGGAAGCCCTTGTTCTCCTGCTCTGGATCATGAGTTAAGAAGCGGGTCAGGGCACAGCTTTCAGATAGCTCCGAGATCAAACGTGATCCCCTCTGGTGACTTCTCCTGCCTTGCTGCTGCTCAGGGAAGGTGACCGTGCGGCTGCTGGAGGCCTGAAAGTACCAGGCAAATTCCTCTTTCTGAAATGGTGCAGAGTCCCAAAGAGGGTTTGTCTCCCAGGGTTTACTGAATATTCAGCTTCACCTCCTGACTGGCCCCAACATGGTGCCATGTCTCTCCCAGGTGGACACACAGCTCCTCTTCCACTGGGCACTGGTCCTGGCAATACAGATTGCACTGCTGCACCCGAGACTTTAATGTTTTCTTAAATAAAAGGAAATTCCACGTGGGGTCTTACTCTGCCCCACTGGGTTGCTGCTAGGGGCTGCCTGCTCTGGGGACAGGCGCGAGGTACAGCAGCTGGAAGGGCTGTCACCTGGCAGGATACTTCTCCCCAGTTATTCAGGATTAGCTTCATGTCCAAACCCGAAGCAATGACACACCATGCCAAGGAGACCAGTAAATAATGTGAGCCTGGGTACAGCCCGGCCTGTCAGCGTGTCCCAGGAGCAGCCATGTTCTCCTGCAGGGGCATCTTCGACACCGGAGGGGCTGGAGCCAGCTGGCTGCGGCATGGCTCTGCCCTCTCCCCTCTGTTTGAGGCCACAGGGCCCAATACAGCTGTTGCAGAACAATTTTTCCGTGTGCTTAATGACTTTCTATGTGTGTAACGGCTTTCTGGGGTCGGTGCTGTTGCAGCGTGACTGTTCAGAGAGCTGCACGGACTGTGCGTGAATCCTCACCTCCAGGACTGATGCTCACAGCCGTCGCGACTTCATGCCCAGCACTGGGCTCCCTTTCCAGCTGCAGAGTGCTGGGGCTGAGGACTCGTGCTGGAGCAGACCCTGGTGTTGCAGGCTACGACTGTTTCAAGGGGCAAGAAGAGCTGCAGCTGCACGACAGGGAAATTCAGGAGGATGGTGGCTGTCCCTGATGGGGTTTTGGAGGTGGCTTTGCTGGCTTGTTGCTAAGTTTGTGGCTTTGATGCCAGTTTATCACTCGGTGCTGGGAAGGTCAAGCGCCCGCTGCGCACTGCTTCCCCCCCTGCAGCGGCGATGCGCTCGCCCTCCCCAGGGGCTCCCCGGAGAGCAGAGGGGTGGGCTGGTGGCAGGGGGTGAGGCGTGCTCATCTCTGTGCTAGGGCAGCTGCTTTCGTTTGTGGGGACTGACTTCTGCCTCCTTTCGCCTTCGTTTCCCTCTCCCTGTGACTGCCTGCTCCAAGCCTCGCTCCTCGGCAGCCTTCCCTTGAGCCTGCCCCGTCTCGGGATGCAGCAGCATCTTGGGGCTGTCACAGCACCTAAAGCTGGGTCAGAGAGGAGCGTGCTCCGGCCCCAGGGAGGCACCCACAGCCAGGACCGGCTTGTTCCGTCCCCTGGCTCCCAGCAGTAACGCTGCTGTGAGCAGCTGGTCCCAGTAACGGGGTTTTGCTGGGGTTGCTGTAGCTGCCCTGCCCTGTCCTACCCTAACGCTAGAGCGGCGGGGGGGGGGGACGGCCCTCCCCCGGCGGGGGCTGGCACACTGGGGGGTTTAGACCTCTGCCTGCTGCTCAGACGAATCCTGGCCCGCTTAAAATCAAACAAGCATCAGCTTTGGTGGGATCAGAGCTGCCAAGCAGCGCCCCAAGGCAGCGGCTGCAAGGTACAAAAGTGAAAAAATAAGGACTTGAGGACAGGGTTTCAGGCTTTCAGGGGCCATGGCGTGTCTCGCTGTACAGGATCCCGTGAGCAATTTCTCCCCTCCCTCCCACCCCTGCCGTGCTGAGGGATGCTGAGGCTGCGGACACGCGTGCACCCTGCCCTTGGCAGACTGCAGTCCTTCCTCCTAGCTGTCACAGCTGAGTATACATGATTTATATTTTTTCCCCCCCTCTATTTAAATAGAGAAGATTTTACTGCAGCCAGCATTCACCCTGAGAGTCCCCCGGGAGAGATTTGTGAGTGGTAATGAGAGCACGGGAGCCTTCCACCTCGAGGACGTCTCTCAGCATCCAGCTCCCTGCGCAGAGAAGTGCTGACTGTGTTTTGGCTGATGCCCAGGCTGAGAGCTGCTGCTCAGGAGCTCTTTCTCTTGCCAATTCATGAGCCATGCTCACGGCACCGGTGGGGACAGAGGTCCAGGCAGGGGCACCTCCATCTTCCTTCGCAGGGCACGGTGCCTTGCCTGGGGCTGCGCTGTGGCAGCCTGAGGGCAGGAACCCTGCTGCTCTTCTCCTGCGCTTGCAGCAGAGGTGGGAGATGGCACTAAGTGGGTGAAGGTTTTGGGAGAAAGGGAGAAGATTTCCAAAGAGTGATGGGTCCCTGGTCCCAACTCCCCTGGCCCTGGTCTATCCAGTTGGAAGCTGGGAAGCAGTGGAAGGATGAAGGGTGCGAGGGGGATGGCCTGTTCCCACTCCTGTGGTCCTAAATCCTCACTGGTGGCAGGTCAGAGCTTCTCGTGCTTTGTGACCCCTCCACTGATGTCGCTTCCAAGCCCTTCTCCAGTCTCCTCTTGGGCTGCTGTATACCCTACTTTCACACATCTTCTGCCCTTGCCCTGCTTGTACCAGCATCAGCCAAAGGGTCCCTGCCAGAGGGGTGCTGAGCCCCCCAGCTCTCCCCATGGCATGGGCCTCTGTCCCCATCCTCATGCTGTCCCCTTCCCAGGAGCTCATTGCTCTCCTCCCATCCTTTTCTGCTCTTAACACACCCTTGTAAAGATGAAGTCCCGGACCTGCATGTAGCATCGCTCCACACTGGGGCAGAGGACAGGGATAGTGGGGTCCTTCCTCCTTCTCCTCCTCCTCCTGCAGCCACATGCGCTGGTGCCGCTGCCAGCTGCCCACTTCAACCCCTGGCAGCCTCAAAAAGAGCGGTGTGGGGCTGTGCCGGCGCTGCTGCAGCGCACACTGGGCACATCAGCTGGTGGCCAAAGTACAATTACAAGTCATGGCCGGGAGCTGCTCTCTTTCAAGGGAGCTAATTGAAAATGCATGGAGATCATTATTAGTAATTGCAAGGTAGCGGGCCTTCTGCAGGGGGGAGCGGAGTGGGACGTGCGCACGGCGCGTTTGTGCTCGCTGCCCTTTAGCGGGACCCAGATGGGTGGTGAGGGCCGGTGAGCCGAGCTGGGAGGACCACCACTCTCTCCCCTCCCCACCTCGCTCCTCAGCGGCTCTCCCAGGCTCCTCATGGAAGCCAAGGAAGTGGGGAGCTTGGGAAAGGAGCTGAGAACAAACCAGCTGCTGGAACTGGGCAAAGTTCTGGTTCGTGCTGGGGTAAAGCTGCCTCCTATACTGGTTTACTCCCTCCTCCCTGCAGCCTCCTCTGGGCTGAGCCCATCACGTGCTGCCATGGAGGGTCCAAGGTCCGACCGGGCAGGGGCCGTGGAGGCGAGGGCTGGCAGCCTGCTGCGCGATGAAGCGCATGTTCCTCCTCCTCGGCATCCTGCAGCTCCTTGGTGAGTATGCCCAGGGCCCGACCGCCATGGCGAGCAGGGCTGGCCGCTGGACGGCTTCCCCGTTTAGGTGTACGGCAGAGCCCTGTTTCGGAGCAGAGCTGGAGGCTCCGTCGCTTCAGGCAGATCTGTAACAACGCAGATGGGAAGAGGCATTTCCAACTGGGCAGCGAGGAGCCAGGGGGCTGGGGATTAGTGCATGGTGCCCGCTGCACCTCTGCGGCTGGGCTGCTCCTGCTCGTGCTTGAAGCCAGCAGCTCTGCACCGCAGGACGTGGTCTCTGCTGAATATGCATGGCGCTGCGATGTTCAAGGACTGCACTTCCCCGGAGACAAGGCTGATGAAATAGCGCGCTGGTGTTTCCGCGGGCCCAGCCGGGTGGGCACGCAGAGCCATCGCTGCCGCGCGGTGTGGCACGAGCTCACTTGACGCGGCACCGCGCAGCCGTGGGAGCGTGAGGCAGGGGGGCCAGCTGAGCCTTTCTGCTGGGGCTTTGACATCTCCGTCCTCCAGCTTCCTGGGACAGCAGGGACGCAGGTCAACCATAGCAGGGATAGAACAACTTGCAATTACCATCTGGGGGCTTTTTCCTTTCTTCAGCTCTTATTTACTCCAAATTAGCAAGGTGTTTGTGCCAAGAACATCACGAGTAGCTGCCTGGGTCCAATTCTCATCACCGTACAGTCCTTTTCCATCTCAGTGGGTTTTAAAATGGATACAGGGCAGGGGAGGTGTTTGCTCTGCCTAAGGGCAGCTGAAAGCCATGGCTTTAGCCCAGCGCAGTTCTGGGGGGACCCTCTGCTCCCACACAGGCTCCCACCCCTGTTCCTATGTTAGGACTTTCATTCAGGTTAAAAATACATCATTTTCATCTTTTCCCAGATGTAGCTATGTACAGCAAATGGTCTCAGCAGAGCCCCTGGCAGTGTCAGACGGCACAAATTGCGCTCCGGGGCCATCACTGCGTGCTGCTAAAGCCTCCGCAGAGCCTGCGGAGCACGACCGGCCACATCGCTCCCGTCACTCGGATTAGCAGGGCCCAGGCTTTCCGCAGCGCACCTCCCTCCATCGGCCGGACTCATTCAGAGCCCCCTCCCAGCCCAGCATGGGGGTCCTCCCATGGCCCCTCCTGCCCCCTCCATCGCCTCCGAGGCCAGCTCCCATCCACCACCGGATTTCCATCTATTTTGTAGTTTTGTGGGTTTTTTTTCCCTAAAGAAAATATGATCTGTATAAAGAGCAAAGGTTTCTTTATTTTTTTTCCTTTCCTCTTCCCTGTCTCATAACTCACTTGCCCGAAGCCATTTAACTCAGGCTGCTGGAGATTCATCTTCAGCTGAACGTGCATCTCCCAGCCGAGCCTGGGCACTGTCGGGCTGGGAAGCGTGCGACTCCGCCATGCTCGTGCAAACTGAGCAGTTCGGAGTGGAAACCCACCTCTGCCTCTGCCCGGCCTCGGCCAGGGGCTCATCGCTGCGGGGACCCGTGGGCAGGACCGCCGCCATCCCGGCAAGCCCCATGGGGAAGACCTCTATTTAGCAACCTGCTGGTACCTCAGGCTGCAGGACACCGTTGAACCCTCACCCTCCAGACCCAGACACCTGAAACCAGCCCATCTTTGGTGCTACATGTCCCTTAGGAAATGCCCTTTCTCCTCTCGCCGTGTCCTGGTGGTCCTGCTGGCTCTGTGACCCTGCTCCACACCTACCGGAAACACCAAAGTCAAGGGGTGTCTGCACATTTGATTAGTCTGAGTGGCAACAAAACCCACCACAATGAATGCTTAGATACCAGGTCTATGTTATTCTTGCTTGCTGCCTGCAGGACTTCCCTGCCTGCTCTCTGCCTGCCAAGTATTTGTCCCTTACTCCTCTCCCTACCTGGGCAAGTAAAAACCATCACCCAGCCAAAAACACCCCCTGTGCAGAGGAGGGCTGTGACTGCTCAACTGGGAACATGCAGGGGCTGCTCTTGCGTGGAAAATCCCCAAATCTGGCCTGAAGAGGCCAAGCCATCCCATAGTGCATCCGGGAGAGGGCTCCCAGTGCCTCCCACAGACTGGGTTACACTGGTTTCCCTGCTTCTCCAGCTGCTGCTGCCGCCGTGTACAAACAGTGGATCCCCAACACCAATTTTGAAACTGCCTCCAACTGGGATAAAGGCAGAGTCCCCTGTGCCAGCGACGTGGTTCATTTTGAGAAGAACAAGGTATTGGACATTTTTATTTTATTTTTATTTTATGTTTTGCATAATGCCATCGGGCATCGGAAAAGCCCTTTAACTGCCGGGGGAAAGCAGGCTTTTATTTTTGCTTTTCTTACAGGTCATCTCAGTCTTCGTCGGGTCTCCCCACGTGCTGACGGACATGGTAAGGCAGCGTGTGGAGGTGCTGGGAGGGTGGGTGAGGGCAGGGTTGGCGCTGGAGCGCTGCCGGCCGGGTGGCACGTCCCCATATCCCCATGTCCCCTTCTCCGGGGACTTTGACATTCTGCGCCATGGTCCAGCCAGACCGGGGATGCCTCGGCTGGGGCAGGGGACAAGAGTCACAGCAGCCCAGGTCTCTCTGCACCAAGGAGCCAAAAAGCCCATTTCTGGGATTGACTTTTTTCATTAGGGGAGAAAGGGGAGAGCACCCCAAAAGCCACTTTCATTTGGAAGAAATTGATTTTTCTTCCCCAAAGGAAGGGTGAAACTCCTTCCATGGAACTGAGACCTTGGCAGTAGTTTGCTGAGGAACACCAACCCACAGCATTGCCGATGCAGGGCAGGCACTAGCCCTGGGCAGAGGCTAAGTGAAGCTGGCATCAAAATAACTTGAAATGAAAACAAACCATTCTGGGAAATCCCAAAATGTTGCTCCAGAAATTTTCTTTCAAGTGCCGTTTTATATTTTTCTGTGGCATGACTAGCCTGGCTGTGGCAGGATGGGCAGGACACCCAACTGAAATATATGTGTTGGGGGAGATAAGACTGGGGGGGGGTCTCGCCTCAGAGGGGTTTCTCAGCAACCTGGTGTCCCCCCAGAGGAGGACCCCTGCCCAGAGCAGGCTGACAGGCAGCCATGAAAGCACGGGGTCTCGATCCCTACAGTTCAGAGGGTCAAATTTAACAGGGAGGGATTAAAGGGAAGAGCAAACCCGCTGCCCCAGCACGGTGGTGCGGGATGGGTTGCCGGTGACACCCGTACCAGCACTGGGACGGCACAAAAAGGGCTGAATTCCGTTTGCAAAACCTCCTCCCCTGGACAGGATGAGCTTGTGGCCGAGTTTTCTTTCTCGGTTTTAGGGTGGCTTTGCTCTTTTATCGGCCATTAAATCCGAACAAGCCCTTGAAATTTATGTGATGTAATTTGTTCAGGCTGTCTACACCACTAATAGATTTGATGCTTTAATAATGCCGTGCGCCACGTTTAATCCCTCTACAAATATTTGGAGGAGTTACTTTATTTATATGGCATTTTAAATATGAATTTTTCAAGGAAAGAATATACTGGGGAAATATGTACAAACATAATGTAATAAATGATGTGGAATTTACCCAGGGAAGAAAAGAGCAAAATATCACTCCACTAGGTTCTATTTTACTTACAGATGAATGTATAATGTTTCTAAAGTACTTTCATCAGAGGCCCGCAAAGTGCATAATTGCAAGGCAGCGTTATTCGTTACGGCGTGAGCCTTTCACGGCCAAGCTGAAGAGCTGAGCTGGAGCAGCCCTGCGGCTGGCTGGAGGAGAGGGAGGTGCAACACAACCCTTGCACAACTAACGTCATCCGTGGCTGAGCCGCCGTGCCCATCATCTGCCGGCTGCTCGGGTGGATGTCACCCATCGCAGCTGAGCGGTGGGGTCAGGGTGCAGGGGTGGGGGTCAGGGTGGTGGAGTGGCCCCCATCTCATCCCTAGAAAAGGTTCCTGTGGTCCTCGTGGGAGCCCCCAGGGACCCTCTGCTGCCCCAGGGCTTCTCATGCAGGCTCCAGGGTTACAGCGAATGTTGTAGTCCCACCGCTGTGCGGGAGGACAGGAGTGTGCCCTGGCTGCCAAGAAGGCCAATGGAATCCTGGGGTGCATTAAGAGGAGTGTGGCCAGAAGGTCGAGGGAGGTTCTTCTTCCCCTTTACTCTGCCCTAGTGAGGCCCCATCTGGAGTACTGTGTCCAGTTCTGGGCTCCCCACTTCAAGAAAGATGAGGAACTACTGGAGAGAGTCCAGTGGAGGGCTACGAAAGTAATTAGGATGCTGGAGGATCTCTCCTACGAGGAAAGGCTGAGGGAGCTGGGCTTGTTCGACCCGCCTGGACACGGTCCTGTGCAGCCTGCTGTAGGTGACCCTGCTTTGGCAGAGGGGTTGGACTAGATGACCCACAGAGGTCCCTTCCAACCCCGACCATTCTGTGTGATTCTGTGAGGGCTGGGGGGACCTAAGAACAAACAAATCCCTCCGGTGAGGGGCTTGCCCCACTGCTGCACTGAATCATGCCACATGTGAGCAACCAAGCTCTTACCAGGCATTAACCGGATGCACTGCTCATGCCTTCCTTCTGAGCATCTCTGCCACAGCAATTCGCAATGAGCTGTCCCAGCAAGTTTCCTAGCATGCTGGTTAATATTTCTTTTTAATTTCAGCTCAGCCACCTCCCTCCTGTGCTCTGCCCTGCTCTGTTGTCACCAGGTGCTAAGGGGACTGCCAAGATTAGGGATGAAAAAGGAATGGAAACCAGCACCTGAGCCTGTCTGCCACTTGTGGGGATGGTGTGCGACTTGGCAGCCGGCTGGTTAGAAAACGAACTGGTCGTGAGGCTTTTTGCAGAGCGGCTGGGCTGCACCTGTTCAGCTGCCGGCCACGCCGCACCGGAGCATTAATCACTTAAATCAGCAGGAAAACATTAAGCTTTAGAGTCGCCATGGAGATGCTATACAGTCTTTGGCCAAAAAAAAAGAGGAGAGAGTTGCTTGCTGTAGTAGCGCAGGAGGAAATTCACGGCCGGGGAAGGGCTGGGCTCACGTTGACTTTCATGAGGAGGGTGCCCGCTGCAGTCGGTGCAGGGGGGGATGCTCCGTGCCCGTGCCCCACCGATGGAGGGGCAGCATGAGACCCTGACTCCTCAGCTGAGTGGAGCAAGACCTGGGGTGCCAAGAAGTCCTTGCCTGCTGCCATCATCGGCCCCCCCCTAGACATTTATATTAAAGGAGATGCTTCTGTCTGGTCAGCCCTCCAGCTGCCCTCCCCATCCGTCCCATGGGGCCACCAGCCGAGTGCCGGGAGCTGCTTTCTCAGGATGAGGTCGGGGCTGCTGTGGTGTGCAGCCCACCTCCCCACTCAGAGGAAACCCATTTATCACCCAGCTGAGTGGTTTTTGGTCTGAAGTTTCAAGTGGGTCCCTACCTCATACACACACAAAATCCAAATCCAGCTTAAGCGTAAGTGATTTTGAAGCACAACCACTGTGATTAAGCTGGATTTGGTAGGTATTTAGCTGCCGAAAGACACAGATCAATATTTAGCTGGCTTTCAGAGGCGCCTGGGAGTAAATCCGCAAAAAAGATGGAGGTGATTAGGGTGGCGGTGCCTGACATGGGTGCTCCAGGGCAAGGTGGGCTTTGGCTTTGCTCATCTCCATGCTGCGGGAGAAGGGCTCCTCCGAGGGGTTTGTACCCTCTGGCTATGGCTGCGCTTCCAAAGGGAGCCAGGCCAGGGCATAGCTGTGGCTGCGAGCCCAGCATTTGCCCCAATAACACCAGCCATGGTGCAGTTTGTGCCCGAGCTGGCCAGCACCATGCCAAGGTCAGGGGTGGATGATGCCGCTTGCTATTTTTGGGGCAGCAGGAGTCAGGTTTAGCCACGTGGGCAGAGCAGCCTCGCTCAGTCCCCATGGTGCCAGGGCCAGGGCACTGGCTGGGGTGATGCGGCAGCGCCGACGTCCCCTTTCCCGCTCTGCCCCATCACCGAGCCCTGCCAAGGTGGTGGCAGCTGCCCCTACCTCCTCCCTGCCCACCCGGGGGGAGGCCGCAAAGGGGCTAGGAGCGTGTGGGGCACTGGGGTCTAACCAGGGACGTCTCGCCCAGCCTTGTATTTTTAGCTGCCTAATTGCGAGAGCAGAATGTACTCGGCTTTGCTGCAGGATGCTCCTGCTCTGTTGCTGGCAGAGATTGATCTTGAAATGCCAATTGCTCTCCAGGGGCGCCGGCTCTAATGAATTGCCACTGTTTGCGCTCGTCCCAGGCACCGGCGCTCCCTTCCCCCCTGCCTCCAAAACAGCAGGGTAACAAGATACCCAGAAAAGGGATTATTTTTCCTTCTCCTGAGATGAAGGTGAAAAATTTCATGGGAGTGCATGTGTGTGTGCCAGCACATAATTACAAGCCTGAATCTTGCAGGCTTTTCTCCAGCTGCGTTCCCACTGAATGTTTGCCCTAGGAAAGGAGTGCGGTAAAACAGCCTTTTGCAGTCACCTGCCCGAGTTTATTTGCTCCTTGCAGGCTAGTTTCCGGCAGGAGGAGTTATTAAAGTCTGTGATGAGCGGAGCAGCTTGCCGGCATCCCAGGCTGGAGCGGATGCTGGGGCAGGTCTGGCTGGGCAGCTGCTCTGAGGACCGGCTGCCGTCCCTCACCACTGGAGATGGCCCCCCTGCCCGCACCTCGAGCCGCTTTCCAGCTCTCTCTGACCTTGTCTGTGGAGGGAAGTCCAGGAATATGAGCTGAACTAACCTGAAGTAGATTTGGCGAAAGAGTTCAAGACTCTGTGTGCCTTCCACATCCATAACTCAAGTGGCTGGTTTACCTGAATGCGTTCCCCAAGGAGCTCCCAACATCCTCGTGTCTGCCATGAACACCCCATTTCTGCACCCTGCTGAGACCTGCTTGGCTCTGCATCTGGAGGTGTGCGCTGTGGGGCTGCAGTCGAATTAATGGCCTTTTTGGGCCTGTTGCTTTTCCACCCTCCCGCCTTTGACTGGGGTCTGCTGGGCGGTTGGGCAGGGTGGGCTGGCCAGCACCTGCGTGGGGTGGCCGGGAGCTGCGGCTCCTTTGTGGGGATGGGCAGGAGCGTGACGTTTCGGGAGCCGGATGTGCTGGGCCGCCCTGTGCCAGGGGATGCGTAGCGAGAGCGCAGCTGCAGTGCTGCCGAAGGACCCTGCCTTGCAGGAGGGGGAGGCAGGGATGCTGGCAGTGGAGAGCAGCCAAGCGCCTCGTTAGCTTGCAGGGGATGATGCTGAGATGATGACGTCCCACCGGCGCGCTGCTCCTTTGCCCGTGTCCCTGCCTGCTCCAGGGGACGAAAGCAGAGGGGCGAGTTCTTGCTGGGAGCAGAGGAGTGTTGGTGGGCATCTTCTGCCCGCTGCTGAGGGTCCTGTGGAGAAGAGCGCGAGCTTCTGCG